TATATATATATATATAAACTATTTAACTCAAAATTTCTTATGTTAGCTATATTGATATATTTTTATAGCCGTAAGAATGTAATGATGTGTAAAATTGTGTTCTTCGAAGTACATTATACATTTTGAACTTAAAAAAAAAAACAGATATTTTGCTGTCCAAAAGAAATTGGAGGTGCGTGCATGGATGCCACGTGGCAAGAAAAGACTGTATGAGAAAGTCGAAGACGCTCACGCCCAGTGAATTTCATATTCTCCTTTAAATCAATTGACTTTACTGAAAATATGAATATAAAGATTTGATTGAAGGATGTTAAATGGTTTTAAGGATATGCGAATTAATTTTATACAAAATGATAAATTGGATTAAAACGAACAAATAGAAATACAGTAAGTTCAAACCACGCGGGGAGGATGTCTTCATCCTTAGTGAACTATTTGCCCTCGATCCAGGCTCACAATAGTCAATATTGATGAATAAAAGAAAAGCTTAGAATAACAGTGAAAATAATAGTATATTGCTTTGGAATGCGTGTTACAATGTGCTTAATGACTTATCAGACCCCCATTTATATAGTAGGGGAATCCTACTCTAAGTATAACTCTATAAAAAGTAAAAAATCTTTTGTTTAATTAATTGCCGGTTCTATATCGATACGTGTCGAGATCCACGCCGTAATATCCGGCCGGTCACGGATATTATAGCCTCGTGTTGGCCGTGCTTGATTGCCCGGCGACGCTCTCCGAAGTCCTTCAGGTTTTAGGTCGATCTCGAATCATGACTCCGATATTATCGAGGGTCGATGGTCGGCCCCTGTACTCTGACTCGAGGATATCCTTGCTTCGATTCCGATCTTTTGCAATCATATCTCGAGCTCGTTTTACCCTGTTGGAGGCCGAAGTGTATCATGAGCCCGATTTTTACCCATACACAGATAGTCCCCTCGTTTCTCGGAGAGTAAGTTGATGAGAAACGACATGAGCGTCCCGATTCCTTCTTCGATACACCGAAACATAAACGGCATAAAACCTATAATGTCTCGTCAGTCATGTCATAATGACATTAAATGTATGTCAGCCGCTGGTTGGCTGTCCCTAGAGGCGAAGCGTCACAACACCACTATAAATAACCCCTATTTCGTTCATTTTTTACTTTACATTAAACCGTCTACCCTCGTACCCTCAGGATTTCACTACTCTCTTTCACATTCTAGCATTTTTACCTCCGGTATTCGATATTCCTTTGAAATCTTTACTCAACATCCACTCAAGCCAACATATCTGAGCCTCCAGTTTTCAACCTTTTTCCATCTTCTTCAAGCTTTCTCTTAGAACAATGGCTAAAACCTCAAAATCTGTCCCCCAAAAGGTTACTTCTACCTCCCAAACAACTGCCGGAACCAATGAGACCACTTCCGATGTGGTCGACCTCGGGAGATCCGCTGCTAACGCGGCCATCGACGAACCGTTTCCCGAACCTCCCTTGAAGATGTTCATTCCCGGGGGTTGTTCGATTTTCGATGACTTCAAGATCGAGAAACCCTCCACGGTGCAGGGTCGATGCGAGGATGCATCGAGGTATATTTGCTCGATCACTGAAGATGATCTCCCCTTAGTCCAAAAGGACTGTAACTGGGCTGAAAAGGATATAGTGATCCCTGACCCTGAGGTGGCCATTACTACTCACTTTGAGGGATACCTAAGTGTCTACACTTATCCCTTTACACTGGGCCCAGTGGATCCGGTCATCTTGGATTTCTGCAAGAGGTACGAGGTATGTCTCGGCCAAATTCACCCCTCACTCTGGAGGATTGTGATCCTCCTCTGATTTTTTGTGGATAAAATCGATTCGTGCGCCTTTACCATCAACCATATG